ATTCAAAGCTCTTTGATGAGTATTATCGATTGGATTGGCTGAGTAAAGTATTTTTGAAAGTGTGTTGTTAATATCGGTCAGATGTAAGAAGCATAATTTTTATTGATGAATATTAGTCGTAATGCCTGCTTGTAATGTTCCTGTTCAAGCCTGATTTGATTTGTTAAGTGCAGCTACTAACACTTGTTGTAAGACTGCCTCCTAAAATGTTACTTACTTTACCATTTTCTGTTTCCAATTGATCAATCCTTTTCAGTGCTACAATTTTTTGTACTTAATTGAATACCCTTTGTTGACTGTCTGAATTATGTTTTCCTTAAATTAGTTATGCAATTGGGATGTTCTGGATTTTGACTGCATTAACTTTGGGGATTCATCACTTGTGCTATTTGCTGCATCTAAAGTAAATCATGCAAAGATTAGCTCAAAATGAATTTGTTTCTTAGTCCATTTTTTTTAGTTTTTACTCATGTAATTTTGTCTATCACTCAAAGAGGCTCAAACATATGGTAAATTGGTCAGGTCTAAAAGCATCAAAAGTGCAAAAAATAAATAAAAATTTAATGATGTAGTCCTTTAATGGAGAAGGTTGTGTCTTAGCAGTACTCCATGACAGAGAGTGTGCAACTGTGGTAAGTGGATAAAGATATTGATCAATAACAATTTGAGAGATTTCTAATGCTCTTTTCATGATGAAATTGTTTTTTTTTTATATATAAAACATATACACTGTATTGTTTCATGATACAACTGCCAAGTTAGCATAGCCAGCTGTAGTTCTGGTTTTGGGAGCAAGTATTTCTGATCTTTACAGTCTATTCTCAAGGTCTCTCTTTAGTTGATTTCCATCTCTCTAGCATACTATATGATTGCTGTCCAGTGGAACCATGACCATAAGTTAATTTAAATTAAATGTGAATTATCAGTTTTTAAATTGGGGTGAAACAACAACTATATATTATCTTCAATGTCTCCCACTTTTCCGTAACGTTTGTTCTGATTGAATGGCTACTAGGATTTAAATGCAACTGATGTAATTACTCTGTTGATCTTAAGGTTAAGTGTTGATACTTGTCTTAATTTTTTGCTAGGAAATGTACTGATTTTATGCTAATGAGTCTAAATTGAGCATTGAAGACTGGCATTCATTCTTCTATTTCTCATCTATCTTACTTTGTTGCATATGAAGATTTTATTTACATTGTTAGCATGAGATATGGAGATTCGGAAGAGCCATGCTTCAATCAAATTCAACCGAGTTCAATCCAGCCAGTAAATGTAACCTACTGATGTGTCCAGTAATGGATTCTGTGGCTTATGCTTCAATATTACAATTAATCTGTCATACAAAATATTGGTGAGAGCAACATCTTTTTACTTGTCTATTTGTGTTGTTTGATGTAGGATGTGCCTTTCAGTACTATATTAATTATTGAAATATATTTGAAAATTTATAAATATGGATTCATGAATTCTTACCTTTTCCTTCATTGTGGTTCTTATTTCTCTTTTATCCTGATATATTCCTCCGATTTAGCAAAATTATATCCTCAGTCCTCATATTAAGATTTGTCAATAATGTGCTGAAGCCTGAGCTTATTTTTAATTTTTAAGAATTGTGATAACAAAGTGAAGGCGCCTTTCAGAAAGGAACAGTAGGATAAACAGTCAGTGGTGGTTGGGTTCATTCAGCTCCTCTTTCCCTTGCATGCCCACTGTCATCCTGAGTGAAATATTTGTGTATTTTCCTTAGCTGGTGCCCTTTAATGTTCATGAGGTCTCTTTCCTTTGAGCAAGTAGTTTGTAACGGTTTCATTCCATATACAATTATTTTTCTAAACTTAATGGTTTCTCCTTCCTGTCCTTTTTGGTGTATTAATATGTTTTCTCGTAATCATAATGCTTTCTCAGATCTCTTCTCTCTTGTTTTAAAATATTTTAATTTATGTTTTTGTTACAATTGCTGTCTTTTTTTCCTTTCTTTAAAGCTGATATTTAAGAAGCTTGCTTTTGAAGAAATTCATTACATGTCCATAACGCTGTACTGTGACTGATTTTTCCCTTACAGTCTGCCTAGAACAACCAGCCTCTGTTTCTGCAATCGAAGATATAGTTGATTCCGACAATGAGACTGACATCAATGAGAGAAAGTGTCTCCTGGCGCAGGATAGGACCAACAGCCCAACTTCAGTATAACTGGTTCACTGCAAATTCTACTTGATATGATCAGTTTTACATCTGAGTTTTCAAGAAATATGTGACTTCCAAGTCACATTACATTTGTATGAGTAATTTAGAAGTTGTCATTGTACCTGAAGGGTGCTACTTTGAATGTTAATTTTTATTTCAAGATTCATGGCAAAACTGGTATGAACTTTCCTCCTCAGCTGGTCATGTGTTCTAAACTTTGATATGATCTCAGTAATTGTTTGCATGGAGTTGGTACCATTAAGGTATGCTACCCTAGAAAACTTAAGTCTATCAGTTTTTATGTTGTTGTTAGTGCTTAATTTGCGGTAGTTTCATTGTTTTGTCGTTTTTTACATCCTGCCTTTTATACATGGCCCTCTGTGATGTAGACAAATCTCCTGTTTAATTTATTTTTTTTCTTTTATACTGTTGTAATGCCTTGTCGTTTAGGAACAAATATATGATTAAAATAGAGATATTTTAGTTTGTTCCTGTCAATGGTACCATGAACATACATTAGACTGACAATTCCTCAAAGCATGTTCAAAAACAAAATTCCTTCTTTATTTTCTGTGGCTTGTGCACCACCACTCTTATTTTATCACACACTTGCCTAATCTCTTGCTTTAATCTAATAACATCATGGCGGAAAAGGGTTGGCTCGGTTGATTCAAAGAAAGATTAACACAGCCATGTAATCTCTTGTATTGATTTGATTTGGATTTTCCCATTGACTGGGGCGAATAATACGTGCGTAGTTCAGTGAGTAGGATTCGAAAAGTCTCACATGTCTGGGAAAATGATTGTTTCCCTATACCACTAGTTTTTTTCCCCCTTTCGCGACAAAAATACATTTGAAAGTCCTCGTGCAAGAAATGTACACCCCAGAGTAATCCTGCCGCGGCTCATGAGTTAAACCTCGCCTCGCCTCGGTGGGACTTTTTCCCATGCCGCCCCCGTACTTCGTGAGGAGCATCACCG